TAAGCTGGGTGTGATGGCCTGGTATTCTGTGATGGTACGGCAGATGGATCACAAGTATGAGCCTAGTCTGGGCAACTGAGCAATTTAGTGAGACCCTGTCTCTAAATTAAAAAAAAAAAAAAAAAAATTAAAAGGCTGATGATGTGGCTCAGACCAAAGGCCTTGGGTTAAACCCCCAGTATAATGATACATACATACATACATACATACATAGCCATACATATCTAATGGAGAAGAGTTCTATAAAGGATTAGTTATATCCTCAATGAAGAATGTTCACCAATCTTTAGGCCAACATTAAAGAAAGCTACAAAACCGTTTTTCAATTTGTTCTTTCAGTGTTTTTATTTTGAAAACAGTTGGAGCATGTAGCTAATCCAACAAGACAATTTATCTCTCATCTAAATGGCTTCCAGGTTGGGAGTACAACTGCCAAACTAGCAGAGGATATCGGTGAGGGATTCTTTTTTTTCCTATTTCAACAACTTTATTGAGAACATTTTGTAAGGAAGATTTTACAATTTAACATATTACAAATTAGAAATTTATCTGCTATTACCTAAGTTTCAAAATTTTCAAAAACACTACAGAAAATCTTTTATTTCTTTGGATTTTTCAGTTCCAGGCTGAGCTCCTGAGATACATTTTTTCTTTCAGCTTCATTTTCATCTTCCTTAGAAGATGAAGAATCATACTCTTGATATATCCATCCATAGCCTGTTTGTTTAGGAGACTTTTTCAAAGGAGGATCCAAGCAGCCAAAGTGGTAGCAAAGTCTGCACTCATCACACCTGACAAGATTCTCATTGTCTCCTGTTCCTTTGCACGTTGCACATTCGGTTCTTAAGTCTTCAGCCTTGGGCTTCTTCTGTAATACAGACTGTCTTTGTCTTCTCTCTCTAGGAACTCTCTCCTCATGTTTTTTTCCTCAGGAACAAAGCTTCGTTTCCGACCTCTGGTTCTCGTGTTTCTTACTGGAATCTTCTTGGGCTCTGGGGGCACATCCTGTGGAACAAACTTCACTGGCTCCTTAATCTGCCTCCATGACCGCTTAGTCCCATCCGGTAAGGTCTCCATGGCCATGTCTGCTTCCATGTCACTGCTGCCAGCCTGGTCGCATTCTGAGCACTGCCAATAACTATTCTTGGTCTTTCTTGGCATCCTTGTAAGAGGAGGATCCAGACACCCAAGATGATAATGGAGTTTACACGTGTCACACAACAAAAGAAGGTGCTGATCATGGTTCTTCTTACAAATTCCACAACTATAAAGCACTGTAGGAAGAGCAGATGTCTTTTGTGTGCCTCCTTCTTTTTTGCTTGGTTTTCTCTCCTTGGGTGCTCGCAAAATTGCAGGTCTATTCAACTTCTGCCCTGTAATTCTGCCCAGTAAGGCCCATATTCCTTGCCCTTCACTTCAAGGTTTCCCATTCAAGTTTTGTAGTTCTTCTAAAGATTCACACAGGGGCTGGAGAGATGGCTCAGTGGTCTAAAGCAACCTACTTGGAACAAGCTCGGCAAAGCACAGGGACCGTGGTTCGATCCCCCAGCACCACATGCCAGCCAGCC